CCAGGAAACAAGTTTTCAACAAAGCAACGGTCGACTCTTAGTACTATGAGAGGTCTTTACAAAGTTCATGGGAGGCAGAGACGAAAGAGTTCTCCCATCTTCTGACGACTGGGCCGGGTTGAAGCCAGGAGCTGGGAAGTCACGCTGGGTCTTTGACATGGGTGGCAGGGACCCAATTCCTTGAGCCACCACCTATGGGCTGCCTCCCAGTACACATTAGCAGGAAGCTGGAATCAGGGGTAGAGCTGGGGAACTGGGACTCAAACCCAGGAGCTCCCCTAGGGGCTATCAGTGTCTTTTTTTTTTTTGACAGGCAGAGTGGACAGTGAGAGAGAGAGAGACAGAGAGAAAGGTCTTCCTTTGCCGTTGGTTCACCCTCCAATGGCTGCCGCGGCTGGCGCATCACACTGATCCGAAGCCAGGAACCAGGTGCTTATCCTGGTCTCCCATGCGGGTGCAGGGCCCAAGCACTTGGGCCATCCTCCACTGTACTCCCTGGCCATAGCAGAGAGCTGGCCTGGAAGAGGGGCAACCGGGACAGAATCTGGCGCCCCGACCAGGACTAGAACCCCAGGTGCCGGTGCCGCAGGTGGAGGATTAGCTTATTGAGCCATGGCGCCGGCCTATTGGTGCCTTAAGAATTTTTTTTAAGATTTACTTGCTTATTTGTTCATTCCTGAAATGGCCACAATGGCAGGGGCTGGGCCAGGCCCAAGCCAGGATACAGGAACCTCCTCTGGGTCTCCCTCGTGGGTGCAGGGGCCCAAGCACTTGTGCCATCCTCCGCAGCTTTCCCAGGCACATTAGCAGGGAGCTGGATGGGAAGTGGAGCAGCCGGGACTGGACTGGTGCCCATATGGGATGCCGGCATCTGAACTGGATGTGCCACAACCCCGGAGCCCTCAAAAGGAATCCTAATTACTGAAATCTGCATTATGTAAAAACTCTGCGTGGATTTTTACATAACTGAACCAACATAACATCTTTTCACCCCATTTTCCAGGAACTCTTTGAAGTACCTGCATAAAAGCAGCCGCAGGTGGGGAAAGGCCCAAGCAGCTGAGGCTCCAAGGGTCCTTGGCCCTGGAAGATGACTCTGCAGGTCAGCAGCTGGGCAGACGCTGTGTGGCCAGCGCGCTCGGGTCTGAACCCGGCTCTGCCGCCTGCCAGGAACGTGCGCTGGAGCCGGCTGCTTCACCCTTGAGCGCTCAGTGTCCGCCCTAGCAGAGCTGCAGGGAGGGTTAGTTGAGATGATGCCACCGGGCATGGGCACAAATGCAGCGTTCACAAAGCAGCAGGACCCTTTTGGAGGGTAGCGGGGAAGCACATGTCTAAAGCCATTAAAATGTCCTAAGTTTTGGGGCTGGTGCTGTGGCATAGTGGGTGGGGCCACCGCCTGCATGCTGGCATCCCATATGGGCGCTGGTTTGAGTCCCGACTGCTCCACTTCCGATCCAGCTCTCTGCTATGGCCTGGAAAGGCAGTGTAGGATGGCCCAAGGATTTGGGTCCCTGCACCGCATGGGAGACCCAGAGGAGGCTCCTGGCTCCTGGCTTTGAATCAGCGCAGCTCCGGCCGTTGAGGCCAGTTGGGGAGTGAACCAGTGGATGGAAGACCCCTCTCTCTCTCTCTCTCTCTCTCTCTCTCTGCCTCTCCTTCTCTGTGTGACTCTGCCTTTCACATAAATAAATAAATCTTAAAAAAAAAATAGGTGCGTTAGGTTTTAAAAAATTGTTCTAAGTTTTGACCTTGTAATTTCACTCCTGAGAATTTTATCTTAAGGAATTTAGGTAAGGAAAGGGGCAAAAAGAGACAGTAATTAAGGACAAAAGATTTGAAAGCATTTATTCACAGAACAAACGACAAGAACCAATAGCCCCCTGGAAAGGTAGCGGTTCCACCCGACGCGGCGCACGCCGGGGTCCACCGCTCTGCTCGCCGTGGGCGCACAGCCCCTGGCTTTCTCCGCTTGGGGAGCACGGCTGATTTTTCAGAATTCCCATTCTGGTATTTTAAGTAGCTTGATTCCCAGACAGGATGAACGCTTAAAGAAGGCGGCAAAGGTTTGCGAAGCGCGTCTGAAGCCCAAGCTTCCTGGGAGCGGCACCCCTGGCCGGCGGCCCCCTCCCCCCGCCCCCCAACTGAAGCTCCTTCCTTTCCAGGCGGTGGACTGACTCCTGCCAGGCAGGTGCTCTGCCCCTCAGCACCTAGCATACAGTAGGCCTCTCATAAATGCCTGTGGAATTATGCACACGTGTGTAAACATATGTATTTGTGTGCATGCACACACACACATACATGGGGGGCCTTCTAAGCATTCACAGAAAGTCTGTATATATTATAAAGAAATGACAGCCGGCGCCGCGGCTCACTAGGCTAATCCTCTGCCTTGCGGTGCCGGCAAAGCAGGTTCTAGTCCCGGTTGGGGCTCCGGATTCTGTCCCGGTTGCCCCTCTTCCAGGCCAGCTCTCTGCTGTGGCCCGGGCAGGCAGTGGAGGATGGCCCAAGTGCTTGGGCTCTGCACCCCATGGGAGACCAGGATAAGCATCTGGCTCCTGCCTTTGGATCAGCGCGGTGCGCTGGCTGCAGCGTGCTGGCCGCGGCGGCCATTGGAGGGTGAACCAATGGCAAAGGAAGACCTTTCTCTCTGTCTCTCTCTCACTGTCCACTCTGCCTGTCAAAAAAGAAAGGAAGGAAGGAAGGAAGGAAGGAAGGAAGGAAGGAAGGAAGGAAGGAAGGAAGGAAGGATAGATTTGAAAAATTTTGGCACCGAAATAAACTTTTAATTACATTTTTCCCCCACAAGCCTCTTGCTGTTCCCTTGTGTGTGTAACACACTAGGATCTTCCTTCTCTTTGGGTCAAGGTCTTTATTAGGGAACGAGAGGGAGCAGGACAGGAATTAGTCTGCAACACTCCAGGTCAGAAAGTACTCTGCTTTTTGTTTTTAAATCGCCAAGGCCTCTCCATTTGCTAATCAAGTGCTCCAGTGACCAAACATCTTCCATTTGACTTCCTGAAAACACTGGCCTTGTGGGGGTGCAGCACCGATGCACAGGAGACCGTCAGAGCACGGCGCATGCAGAAAGGAAGACGCATGACAGTGGGATCACAAAGAAATCGCCCAGGAAGAACTGGAAACTGAATCCCGACATATAATGTACACGTATTTCTAAGGAATGTTAAGTGCCTCTGAGACTCTCTAGCCAAGTGATTATGGTGAGAAGGAGAGAACATTAACTGATAATTAGGACATTTATATTCTAAATTTGGCTCCTCTGTACCTGTGATTTGGACAAGTCCCTTCCTTTTCCTGGGCCTGTAAAATTACGGGGTGGAACTTGGTGGGCTCAGCGCTCCCTCGGGCTCATATCGGTGTGGGTGCACAAAGCACGGGAACACAGCCCGCGCTTGCCACTGTCCATGTCCCTGGTTGCTGAGCCGACTTTACTTCGTATGGCCCTGGCTGCCACTGCTCGCAGCAGAAGGCTGAGCGTCCCTGCCATGCTGTTCCCAGGGGCTGAGGGTCCCAATAAGCCATGGGTGTGCCGTATAGGGTGGGGGCCCTACCAGTTGTACTCCATTGTTGTTACCTTACACCTGTTCATCCCTTGTTGGGTCGTGCATGGTTTGCTAAGGGGGTTAGGGTTGAAATGGCAGGATTCTCATTCTGCAACCACGAGGATTCCAAGGTTCCTGTCACCCCTTCCCCCCAAACAAGAGCCCTCCCTGGGTGCCATCCATCTGGCCTCCTCTGGGGAGGTTTTCCCTTGGCGCTGTGTACTGGCTCTGGCCACCAGAGGGCACTCTTGCAACATGGAGACCGGCAGTTCTCGGTGTCGCGGGAGGGGGACCGGGTCCGCTCGCATCTTTGCCAGAACATCTGGACTTGCTGAAGCCATTCTTCTCTCAAGTGGCTCTCACGTGGGAGCGATTTCCCCTCTCCCCGGGGGGACATTTAACCATGTCTGCAGACGCTGGGGTTGTCGCAGCTGGGTGGGGGAGGGTGCCAGCTGCCGCGGAACACCCAGCGCAGCCGGGAGGATGACACAGTCAGAACTGTCGGCACTGCCAGGGTGCAGAGAGCCTGCGCTGCTCCTGGCTGTGGGGCTGAGTTGTTCACCCACCTCCCAGGGGGAATTCAAGCATAGTGACCTCAAAGTATTTTCACTGCTAGAAGTATGTGTAGGGGGCCACAGCCACCACAAGCCACTGAAGACTTGAAGAGGTGGTGGGGTCAGGCATAGGGTACATGCAGGTCCCCACGGGGAGGAAAACCCATCCCCGGGGCCGGCCCAGGACAGCACCAGCCACTTCCTTGTGCTGGAGCCGGAGCCCACAACACTGGTTCTTTGTCTCCCCAGACCGGGCTGGGTGATGGGAAAGCCCCCGGGGGCTGGCCCTTCTTGCAGGGTGGGGGCTGGGCTTGTGGTCTGGAGGGCAAGTGAGAAGCAGTTTTCATTCTAGCCCTGGGAACTCCTGGGAGGATCACTCTGGGGTCCCTATGGTTTGGCGTCCGGGCTGTGGTGGGGAGACTGAGAACACGCCTTGACCTGTGTCCGGCCTGGCCTGGGAACCCAGGGGCTACCTTGGCCCCCTGTCTGCCTTAGTCTGGGTCTCTCCTTCCCCTCCATTCCTGTGAAAAGCGTCCTGATGAAGAGAAAAGGAGACGGCTGCAGGGAGCCCCGCCCACCCCCCACCCAGCGCCCACCCGGAGGGCAGGATGCACACCGGCTCCTTGAGTTGTGGGACAAAGAAAGCCATGGACACACAGCCCCTCCGTGCCTCCTTGGTTCATGCTGTGTGTCACAGAAAGGACACGGAGACCAGTCCTGACCGTGCCATTGGTGACCTAGAGAACGGACTCAGGGCCCAGTAACCTGGATCCTGGAGCTCCCCACCATGTCCCCTGGCCTCCCCGGGGCCCCAGGTGTGCCCTGCTTGTCAGTCTCAGGGCCTGGGGAGTGGAGGAAGAGGGACCCTGGTCAGCACCCTCCTTCCTCATCCAGCCCCTCACAGAGCCTCTGGCTTGCTCCGCAGGCAGGCGGGACCCCAAGGCCACTCTGCTCTGAAATTCCTTCCCCCTCGGCCCAGCAGCTCCTCCTGCCACCACTGGGAAGCGATGACCAGAGGGAGGACACTGATTCCAGTTCTCCCAGGCTGTAGCCCTCCCTCAAGCCTCCCTCATCCCCATTGGACCCCTTCGAGGTGTTCAGCTCCACCCCAGCTCGTAGGGGGCCTGGGGCCCGCCCAGGGAGGCTGTGGGCGAGAGGGCGGTTTGCCAGGGGCGTTTTATTGTGCTGGGCAGTGGGAGTGTCACAGAGCTGGGCCAGCCCCTCCCTCTGCACCTGCCTGGGACCAGGGGAAGTCGAGGGAGGAGGAAGTGCCTGCAATGGAAGGAACTTCCAAGATGAGAGGCATGTGCACAGGGGGTAGAGGGGGGTCGGGAGGATAGAGAAGCTGCCTGCGAGGTGGGGGACAGAACGACCTCGTGCCCTCACTGGCCTAAACCCCAAGTTCTCCCTCCCGCCCCGGGTGGGTTCCTGGCACGCTTCAAATGATGGAAATCTCAACCTCATCTTCTTCAAGGATAAAGTTGCAATCGAGGCTGTCCCCTGGTCTTGTTAGCAAGGTGGAGGGCTGCCTCAGTTTCCCCACATTTGAGCTTTCTCTGCAGAGTGCGCCCCTGTCCACCTTGCTGTGACTTCACCCTCTTCACAGTCCTGCTGGGCCTTCGTCGGTGTCCTGTGGGGAGGGGGGCGCCACACGCCTTCCCCTCCAGTTAGGGAGGATCCAAGGGCCACAGGGCCTTGGGGGTCTCCAGGCTGGGGGCCGTAGAGCTTTCCTCCCCAGCTTTGAGTCCATGGGTCTCCAAGGGGAAGCCCACCCTGGCCTCCAGGCTGCCCATGACCCGCGTCACGGGATCAGGCTTTGCCTCTGGTCCCTCGGGCTTCAGGGACAGGAGCCGAAGCCTCTCCCCTGTGCCTGGTCCCAGCCCGGCCAGCAAGGGAAGTGCTGGGAGCAGGGTGTCCGGCTTGGAGGCCCTGGGGAGCTGCCGCTCTGAGGTCAGAGGGGGCAAGAAGGAGCCTGAGAGGCGGGGCCAATCGGAGGGCAGAGGGGGTGGCAGGGGCGGGGTGAAGGAGGCCAAACTGGGCAGCTCGCCTTGGAGGCTCCCGAAGTGGCAGCAAGGGCTCAGCCGGCAGGGGCCAGAGCCCAGTCCTAGGGGGGAGATGGAGAGAGAAAGGGTCAGGAGGTGCCCCCATCCCTGCCATTTCCCGCCCCTCTGAGTCCCTCCCAGCCCAGGGGACATCAGCCGGTCCCTCTCCTCCAGGGCACCTGGCCAGGTTAGAATCCTGTGTCCCCAGCTGAGCGGGGGCGGGAACTGGGCCTGCAGTATTCTCGCCTGCATCCACCCAGCTGGAGACAGATTAAGTGCTCCATAAAAATGTGTTGCGTGAATGAATGAAGGATCTGTGCTGCCATCACTCAGTGACTCCATTCTTCACTCTCCCTGGCCCTGCAGCCGAGGCTTCTCGCTCTGGCTGGCCCAGGAACCGGCTGTGTGGCCTTGGACTTGGCGTTCACATTCACAGGAAGGGGCCTGCAGGGCGCAGGGTGGAGGTGGGGCGAGCCCAGCCCTCCTCTCTCTGGCCCTAGCCCCCTAGCTCTCCTCCTCCTCCCCCTCCAAGAAGCCTTCCCTCTTGGCTCTTCCCTTCCCTTTCCCCTCCTCTGCCAGGACCCTACACCCAACAGGGACTCCTAGCCCAGGGCCTCGCAGGTGACACAGGGGACTCCACGCCATGAGCTGTTTCAGACATCGAAGGGGGCAGTTCCATGTTTCCCCAGCAGGACCACGTCCCTGAACCAAAGAGCAAGGGAGGGCCCGGTGTGGCCGCACAGCTGCCTCTGGTCAACAAAGATGGGAACAGCCTGTCGGTCCAGCATCCTGGACTCTCTGAAGCCCGCTCTGTGACACAGGAAACAGCAACCCGGATCCTGCAGCAGGAGGAGGCAGGGGCCCCTCCTTGGGGTCCTACAGGAGGTGGGAGGGCTGTGAGGTCAGGGCTGTACCCCCTCCCAGGCAAGTGAGGGGGCGCTTCCTCCTGCATCTGCCCCCACCCCCCCTCACCGAAGCTAGCCCTCCAGCTTCCTCCTTCCTCCCCCCTACCCTGTTGCTCTGAGTGAGGGGCTGGTGGCGCGGCCTCTGGATCCCCAACCAGAAGTGGGGCACGTGCCGCTGCGCACCTCCTGGCGGCCCAGACCTGCTCAGCGTCCCTAGGGGCCCAAGCAGAGGCAGGGCACGTGTGCGCACCGTGGAGGGCAGAGAGGTGCAAAAGCGCTCACGTCTCATAGCCTTCTGAAGAGAGAAGCCCCATGCCCAGGGCATCCCCAGTGCTAGGCAGGGTGGCTGGAGGTGCTCAGGGGCTGCTAGCTGTGGCTACCGCCGGAGCACTGGCCCGGCAATCCTAGCGGTCCCCAGACTGCCCCACGCCACCCCTGGTCTCAGCTGTGTTCCAGTGGATGCAGGGCAGCACCTTCCCCCCGCCACTGCCCTTGGGGTGGAGTGAAGGTCACGGTCCCTGCTCCACGCAATTGTCTGCAGAGGAGGGATAGTTCTCGGACCTCTGTGCAAGAACCTTGGGTTGATGGGAGTTTCTGTGTTGTCATTTTTTTTTTCCCACAGAAAATCTAGTTTTGTTGCAGTAAGAGCTGACACCTGCTGACGGTTCCACCCTCTTCTCCTGCTTGGTCACATGTGACACCAGACCGGCCTGTCCCAGGGCCTTGGCACACAAGGTTCTCCGTGCGTCTCTGAGCTAAGTGGACACCTGTGGATGCTCTGGGTCTCCGTTCAATGTTGCTTCGGCCAGGAGGGCTTCCCTGACGCCCTCCGCATGCCCCATTTCTCCCCTGCAGCCAGCAGGACGACTCTCATTCCAGCTCTGCTAGGTACAGAAGGCGTGTACCCCGCCCCTGCCCGTGGGCCCTACAACGTCACACAGGTTCCCCAGTCCTTGGGGCAGTGCCTGCCACATGGGACAGAAGGCCATCAGACTTGTCTGATGAAAGAAGAAACGAATGAGGGAAGGAGTGAGTGAGGCTCGCCTTCCCAGTCTTCCCCTGCCCGGCCCTCCTTCTTCTTCGCCCCATGACCCCTGCCTTGGTTCCAGCCCCAGCTGCTTCTCCTTACCCCATGCCAGCCCCACACCTCCTCCCAGCCAGGCTCTGCACACACACTGAGGAGTCCTTCCGAGATGAGAATGTGAGCGCGCGTGGACCCTCAGGTCCCTCCTGGATCTTCCTCCACCTGCTTGAGTGTTGCCTCCTCCAGGAAGTCCCAGATCCTTCTCTGCACTTCCACATGTCCTTGTGCTTACCTGAGTCTCAGCACCGGTCACTGGCAATCCGCCCCTCCCCACTAGGTTCTGAGAACCTCTGCGCACCAAGATGGGGTGCATCTGAACCCCACGCCTAGTAAACAGCTGGTGCTCAATAAATGGTGAGTGAATGGATGACTTGTGTCTTATCCCTTGTCTCATGCCCCCGCGCCCCAGCCATGTACTCAGCCGGGAACCCTCCCCTGCTCTGGTTAGGATTCTCCGGGCCGTGCCCAGTGTGGAGTACTCACGGTGGACACTGCTGCTGTTCCCCTTCTTGTCCCCAGAGGCCTCTGGTGGTCCTCGGGAGGCCTGCTGTGCACCAAGCTGCTCCACCACGGCCCGATGGGTGAACAGCATGCTGTGCAGGAGCTGAGGAGCAGTGAGAGGTGGGGGCCAGGGCTGGGCTGGGCTCTCCCTGGCAAGTGTCCCTGTTCTAAAGTGTCCCTGTTCCCTTGCCCAGTTCTACAATGAAATGACCACACGTGCCACCTGCAGTCTCAGACACCCTGAGGCCCCGCCCCCTTCCTGGGACCCAGCCCTGAAAGGCTGAAGGGCAGAAGTCACCTTTTTTTTTTTTTTTTTTTTTTTTTTTTGACAGGCAGAGTGGACAGTGAGAGAGAGAGACAGAGGGAAAAGAGGGAAAGGTCTTCCTTTGCTGTTGGTTCACCCTCCAATGGCCGCCGCGGCTGGCGCATTGTGCTGATCCAAAGGCAGGAGCCAGGTGCTTCTCCTGGTCTCCCATGGGGTGCAGGGCCCAAGCACCTGGGCCATCCTCCACTGCACTCCTTGGCCACAGCAGAGGGCTGGCCTGGAAGAGGGGCAACCGGGACAGAATCCGGCGCCCCAACCGGGACTAGAACCAGGTGTGCCGGCGCCACAAGGTGGAGGATTAGCCTAGTGAGCCACGGTGCCGGCCAGAAGTCACCTTCTCATAGCTGGGTGCTGTGCCATTGGTTGTCCAGTACCCCCAACCCCCGGGACACTCAGGGACCAGGATGGGAGAGGTCAGTGGAGGCTGAGGGGCCCTCACACCTACCTCACTCTGCACACTCATGGGCACCAGGGCCGGCCGACACAGGGCAGGGGCCCCCAGCAGCAAGTGGGGGGACGGTGGTGCCCGCACTTCCCACAGAGGATAGTTGACCACGATGAGCTTGCTGAAGTTGAACTTGTACGTGAACCTCTTGCCTTTGGTCTTGTGCAGGATCCTCTTATTGTAGTAATACCTGGAGAATCCAGGGTTGAGGACAGAGTTGGCCCGGGGGCGGGGAATGGAGTCAGAGACCCAGCAAGGCTAACCTGCCGTGCCTGGAGAATGCTTGGGTCTGACCACATTCGAGGACGTTCCCCAGGCCTGGGAGGAGTGGGCCCGGTGGGGAGGTGCCAGAAACTGTGGCCCCGTCTTCAAACTCTGCGACTCGGGCCGCCTTGTCTCACCTGAGCGCCCGGCTCAGCTTGTCATAGTTCATCTGTGGCTTGCATTTCCTGCGGCCCCAGAGGCGGGCCACCTCGTCTGGGTCCTTGATGACAAACTCCCCGTACTCTCCCTGCTGCCAGGCGATGACGTGGCGGAACTCCTCCTTCTGCAGTAGCTCCAGGATGAAGTGCCACAGCTGGATCTGCCGGGAGCCGGGGGACGACTCGGCTTTGTAGGCCCAGTCCGGGAAGGCCAAGCCTGGGCGAGGGGGAGGAAGGGGAGTGGGGAGGACGGTGTGAGGGACGCCCGCTGCACCTGCTGCACCGGGGCCCCGCCTGAGGCGACCACGGCTGGCAGAGAGGCTCACCTGAGACCCAGTAGTTGCATGGGGAGGCGGCGGGGAAGCCCTCGGCGAGACAGCTGCAGTGCATGGTCCACTCCCGGCGGGCGGGCGAGAGAAGGCTGCATGTGGGTTTTTGGGAAGGGTCACCACTTAGAGAGGGGAAGGAGGCCAGGGAGAGGGCAAGCAGAGAGGAAGCAGGAGGGAGGGATGGAGAAGGCAAGGAAGGAGAGAGAGAAGCCGACGGAGGGGACGAGGGAGGCAAGAGGAGGAGAGGGAGTCTGAGAGAGGAGGCCTCCCACCCTGACCCTGGGGACCTCCTCGCAGAACTGACCTGGGGCCTCGGCTTGAGGATGAGCCACTTAGATAGATGGAGAGGAATTCAAAGGGTCCCTTCTCTGCCCCCGCTGGGGGATTTAAACAGAGAATGAGATCTCTTCTTAGGGCTTAACAGGATTGGCGTTTTTCCCAACAGGAGACAAGAGACAATGTAATTAATCGCTGACTGTTTCTAACCCTTGAGTGGGGAGGAGGGGGCGTGCACACACCTGGACCGCCTATGGGCCCCAGCACAAGCTTACACGTGAGAAGAGCGGGGATGTTTGTGGGATTTTCTTTTCATTTTGCCAACGAGTCCTCAGTGTGTGGCACACAGTAGGTGTTTAATAAGTGCTTGCTGATGAAATAAATGAATGGTATGGATGGATCAATGAAGTCGTTCTTTGTCAGCTCCATGAAGTCAGGACCCCTGGCTGTCCGACCCTACCCTGGCATAGGATCTTGAACTCAGAAGCTCTCTCTACGTATTTGTGGAATTAGGGACCCTTAGGCAAGGAAGAGAGGGTCTCAGAGTTTCCCACCTGGGGAGGACAGTGGGCTCGCAGAATGAGCTGCAGGGAGGTAGACCCGCCAGGTATACCCAGGGAGAGAGAAGCATCGACACCCCAGAGTCTTGCTATGATAGGACAGAGGATGTTGGTGCAGAAGGCAGATTCCCACTGTGGCTAGTGGAAGATGAATGATGTGTGGGAGGCTGTGGGGGGATGGCAGAGGCTGTGTGGGGGACACAGGATGCAGGGCCTGCTCCTGGGCAGGCCAGCACCCCAGAGAGATGCAAACAGGGGAATAGCACCTCTTCTCTAGGTTTCTGGGCCGGCTTCCCTGCTGCAGGGAAGTGTGAGCAAAGGATTAGTCTCAATAGAACTTACGCGGCCGTCCAGTCTGGAGGGCAAGCGAGGCTTTGTCAGGAGTGCGTGCAGAGAGGGGAAAGTCTTGGCCAGACACACAAAGCGAAGGAGCTGCCTGCTCCCCGCCACTCCATCGGCATCACTTTCTCCGGCTCGGAGTTGCTTTAGGACTCTAAACCATCCTTGGCCCAGCGTGCATCAACGTCATCCGAGGGTCTCTCTAAAGTGCAGACTTGGATTCAGTAGCACTGCGTGGGCCCGAGAATCTGCATTTCTAGCAAGCCCCCAGGTGAAGCTATGTGGGGCATACCTGGAGCAGCAAGAACTCGGGAGCTACAGCAAAGAGAGGCTTTGGAGAGACCCTCCTGGCCCTCCGACTCCCAGCACCAGGAGGTCATCCGCTCTCTTGCTCTGTTTTCCCAGGGACTTCTCAGTGCCAGGAGAGGGCAACTGACCAGCTGACAGGCCCTGGGGCAGGGGCTCCCGGAGGCCCCAGGGCGGCCCAAGCTGAGGGTACTTCTGGAATTGAGGAAAGCAGGGCAGTGAGTAGCTCCCTACCCGCTGGGGTCTGGGTGGGTGGGCTGTCCTGTCCACACTTCGCGCTCTAAATGGCAGCTGAAATTCTGGAATATTCTCTTCTCTCCTCCCTGTCTCCCCTGGAGCAGACCCATCCTCCTTTCTTGCCCCCTCCCTTGGGAAGTTCCTCCTTTGTGTAGCCTCAATCAGATCAGGCTGTCGCCTGCCTCACCTTAGGAAAGTGGAGAGAGGCAGGGGTGTGTGTGCAGAGGTGAGGGATCCCAGTGGGCCTTCCGCCCCGAGGAAGCTGACAGAGCTCCCGGGGCTTGTCCTGTGCTTATTCTGGCCTGGAGGATATGTTACCTCAGGTGGATCTGGGGTCTCCAAGAAGAGAGTGAGAAACCCACGACTTCTCCCTGCACTGTGTATAGGGATTGAAATCTGCCCTCGTGTCACGTAGCAGGTGCAGGTGCACAGGGCTTGCGAAACTTCCCTAAGGGCATGCAACTCTTCTGTGAAGCAGTGGACAGCAAGACCTTGAGCCAAGATGCAAGGCACCCGGCCGCCGAGGTAGGCTCCCTACACCCTCTCTCCTTCCCCCAAGAAGTAAACACCCCAGATACAAAGCCAAAGTGGCGTCCCTCGGTGAGATCAGCTCTTCCGGTTTCTTGAATGCCCAAGGCCTTCTTCCCAACCTCCCCTGTGCGTCCCCAAGTCTCCGAGCACCTGCCGATTATGGGTGTGCAAAGCCTCCATACTGAGGAACCTGCCAGACCCCTCGCCCTCAAGTCCTTTTCTGCCTGAGTCCCTGTGCTGCCTGTGGGGAATTCTCAGAGAAGAGCAGGTGTCAGTTCCACCTCCAGTTCATCAGCTGTTCTGGGGACCTAGCCTTGCTTCCTCGCACTCCACACTGATCCACACTCCAGTGGTGGGGGAGGTGGTCTCCCCTCCGTCTCCCCTCTTGTGTTCCAGGACCCTGAATCCTTCCCTCTTGTCCTATGGGGCTAAAAGCACACAGAGCTTGGGGAAGCTCTGGCCACTGGCTCTGCACAGCCCCTGAGAGGGGCCAGGCATGCAGTGGCCTCAGAGGAGAATGAGCATGGAGAATCACGAATCAAAACAAATCATAACCCAGTCTCGGCTGATCGGAGTGGCTCCTCTCACGCACGTCGTGGTTTTGGAAGGGTTACAGCAGCCCGCAATGACTATTGTCATCATCACCATCATTCCAGTTACTAACAATATAGTTAATCCCCTTGGCCAATATAGGTGTTCATTACAACACATGTAGGCTTTGGGTCATTATTTTTTTTTTAAAAGCGATATCGATAATGACGATAACAAGAGAGAACAGAGCTTAAGCTAGGGCCAGGTGCCAAAGGAAATGTCCAAAGCAGATTCCATCTTTTCAAGATTTGAGTTACTCTGACTCAGGCCCCTTTCATGCACGCAGAGCTGGGCTCGCCGGTCGTTTCATAGGTTGCTTCATTGATCCTTCACCGCAACCCTTTGAGGTGGGTATTGTTATCTCCATTTTGCAAGCCGAGGAAATTGACACTCAGAAAGATTAAGAGACTTGCATAAGATCCTGGCCAAGTGGTGGAGCCGGATGGGAACAGGTCTGGCTGACTCCAGGCTCTGAGCCGTAATCAGTCAATCAGGGCAGAAAAGTTGAGGCTGAAACTTGGGGGCAGAGAGGTGAAGCCGGCAGGAGGCAGGCAGGTCTAAGCCTCGAACACGGGCTCTGCCGCGGGGGCTCCTGGAAGCCAGCGGATAGCCAGGCAGACGGACAGCGAGGATGGGAAAGATAGGAGCAGACACACATTAAGAGATAAACAAACAACAGACGAGAGAGAGAGTAAAGAAAAGGAAGGTGCCTTCGAGAGCTGCGTGTATGCAAAGTGGATACTTGCACCGACAGTCAGCCTTCTGAGCGGCTGAAGTGGATTGACTGCCTAATCTGATTGATTGGACAAAACCAAGTCTTTTCAGTGACTGCTTGATTGATTGAGTGGGCAAATGGGATGTTTACAAACACAAAGGCAGCTCAAAGAGACAGGCCCCGGGAATCTGAGGGAGAGGCTGCATAGAGAGACAGACAGGGCTGGTGGCCAAGGCCAGGTCCACAACAGGGCCTTGGGGACTGAGAGCTCAGAGTGGACGATGAGCAGCCCCGAGGCCCAGAGCCGGGCCAGGCGGGGGCTCTTGCACATACAGCGGCGGCGGCTCAGGGGGAGGTTTTGTGCTTGTCAGCTGCACATCCCCACCCCCCTGCCAAATCCCCAATCTTATTAGAGGCCTCTGGTCTCTCCCCTCCATCACAGCCCCCAGTGGGGAGGAGGTTAGTCCTGAGACCTCGCTTAATGCTATTAGCTAAAGAAGCTTAGGTAGGACAGCAAGAGGGGCTGGGGGCCCCGGACGGGCGAAGCCAGCCACCCTCTTCTTTCTCTTCCCCGCAGCCTCCTTCCCATCTCCCCCAACTGAGGGGCAGCCTGGCGGAGACCCCCAAGGGCCCCTGGTCCCTCCCTGCCCAGAGAGCTGTCTTTTTGTGTGAGTGTCAGAATCCAGCCAGCCTCCTGCAGTCTTCGCTCTTCCTTCTTCCTTTTGCACCCCTGCACCTGAGAGAGGCCCCAGCCCTGCTTCTGCTTCTCCGTCCCTGTCCCCAGCCTGTCCCCTCCTCCCAGCTCCTGAGCCTTTGAGGCTGCCTCTTGCCTCTGCGGCTGCCTCTTGCCTCTGCGGCCCCTGGGGGCCGTGGGATCTAAAAGGTTTGCGTAACTCCGTGGAGCAGAAATCCAAGCCCAGACATCCCCGTGCCCACGACGGGCAGCTGAAGGTCAGGGGGACGGGGCTCGGGTGTTTGCAGGCGGCTTCCAGCTCCACACTCACCCAGCTGTCTCCTCTCCCCTCCCACTCTCATTCCTGCTTCCTTCCACTTCCTCACCTCCAGCTTCCCTCCGCCTCGCTGCACGGTCCCCAGCCTCCCCTTGTCCCACACCCCATCCTGTCCATCTATCTCTCTGTCCAGCTGTCCCGTCTCCCCGGGATGCCTGCTCCCCCTCCTCCCCTGTGGTCTCCGTCTCACCAGCTTCTGGCCCAGCTCAGCCTCTTTCAGTCTGTGTCCCTGTCTCTGCCCGTTTCCTGGCCTCTCTTCCTGACTTTCCAGCTCTGCCCCATCTGGAAACACAGGGGCCCTGGTTCCTAACAGCCTCACCTCCCACTCCCGTCCTCCTCCCCAAACTGCTCCCACACCAGCGCCGCTCTCTTCCCTCCCCAGGGGCAACCTCAGCATTTCCCTTTCATCTCCTTCTCATCAGCTGTGCCCCGGGGGAGCCCCTTGGACACCCCCATCCCTAACCTTCCACCCAGGGACAAAAAGCCCCTCCAGCTGACACTGAGGTGGCGCGGAGGAGCCAGGCCAGAGAGGGAGGAAGTGAAAGCTCCAGGCGCACAGCTGAGCCAGGCAAGTTGGCCTGCTGGCCTGGGCTGAGTAACAGGGATCAGGAAGAAGGGGCAGCAGTGACACCAGCCGGGGTGGGGGTGGGGGGTGGGGCGCTTGGACAACTTCTGACTCAACCCCAGCCTTCACACCCTGCGTCCATCTCCAGCCTCTACCTCAAGCCCAGTCTTAACACTTCCACGAAGCCCCAAGCCTAATCTCAGGCTTCCTCCATGTGCCCCGGTTCCTATGCCCACTGGAGCCCCAGGGTGGGTGGCGGCAGCACCCACCCTCCCCCAAGAGCTTCTCCTCTTGTCTCTGGAGGGCCAGGTTGGGGAAGGGGCAGGACTTCCCTGTCCCACAGTGCCTCCCTAGCCTCACCTTCACAGGGGTGCTCCTGGTAAGGGGGCACCCTGGCTCTCAGAGCTTGGGTCTCCTGGTCCCGGGAATCCAAGGAAGGGAGGGAGGCCGGTGGCCCAGGCTGGCTCAGATGGAGTGCAATCCCTGTGCTGGTGCCCCTCTCCCTCACCCCTGTGCTGGGATGTCCACACCCTTGGCCTCAGCGGCAAGGGTGGCAGCAGCAGAGCTGGCGGGGACCTGACCCCTGTCTGGGCAGATGGTCATTCATTCATTCACCTGACTCCACTGTGCCCCATCTGGGAGAAGAGCCTCGGAGGTCCTCCTGCTGGGGCTGCCCCAACCTGGAGGCAAGGGTCCTGCTACCTCCCGGGCAGCCGTAGTGTGGCCCTTGGGCTCCCCTCTCCACTGTGCCCTTCCTTCCCTGTTGCCCCAGGACTTGCTCCAGAGTCGGGGTAGGGGTGGGGGCAGGGAAGGGCCCGAGCTCGGGGCCAGCCCCTCTGCAGTCCTGCCAGAGTCCCTTACCGCTGCCCGCTGCCGCCACCGCCGCCCTGCAGCAGCCGGTCCCCGTGCGCGCTCTCTGGTTCCTTCTGGCGCACTCCTTGCCCGGCAACGACCCCTCGCTCATCACACGCGTTAGGGTTACTTAAAATGAGAGCGGGATCTCCAAGCTCCCAGGGGAGCCGATGTGGTTTTCAGACAATAGCATTAACCCTTCGGGGGCCGGCGGCACCTCGGTCCTGCGCCCCCTCCCAGGCGGTCCCACCTCTGTCGGGGGTAGGAGGGAGGGAGCGTCTCTCACGGGGGTCCTTGGCTTCCAGAGCCTGCCTCTGAGCAACAGGGAGGCGGCAGCGAGGGCTGAGTGCCTTCTCCATCTCCCGGAAAAGCGTGGCCGAGCCATCGGGAAGTCCCTCCTGCTGTCTCCCCTTGTCCCACACAGCCCTGTGAAGAGTCTGGATGGGAACAGGAATCGCACTTCACAAGCCCCGAGCCTTAATAGCACCTCACTGCCTGTGTTTGCCCCTGAGCCCCAGGCCCCCGCTCTGCTCCCATCCTGGTGCTGGATCTTGGTGGTTTGTAACGTTCACTCCTTACTCTGCTGTAAAACGATGGTAAGGGGTTACCCAGCCTCCTCTTGTCTAAGGGCTTTCAGGCACTTATTATATCTGTTTCCTCTTGGAGTTTTGGAAAGCGATTTTTCCTTTTCTTAATATGACTTGAAGTTAGACAGCAGGAAGAACTTTCTCCTAAGAGATAAGCCAGCCAGGAGAAAGTGACTGTAGGGGCATCAGATAGCTTGCTAAGGAAATAGTAGGAACCAGATAAGGGGTTGGGACTCCTGGCTCTCCCGAGGAGAGGGCGGAGGGCTTTGGGGAGTGATCTAGACAGACTGTGCAGGGGGGATGCCAAAGAGCAGAGTCTCTGTCTTCCAAGTTCTGAGGACCAGGCGCCCCTGGAGCCTGCTGGGCCTGTGTCCAGCGCCCCAAGCCTTCCCGGGAGGAGGAGATTGATGGCTGTCATTGGGGGAATCAATATGATTTTCTTTTTTTTTTCCTCTCTGACTCTGAGAAGCCAAGTTTCCTCCTCCCCCCTCCTCGTTATTACACAGCCCCTCCCCACCCTGAGCTGATCGAGATGGGAATGGAGGGCCATGGAATTAAATTCTGGGGTTGTTTTCTGGTTAAATCAACCGAAGCTAACATGATGGAAAGGTGAGAGGGAGAGGCTGATTGATGGAAGCGACAGGAGCCGGGGGGTGGGGGGGCAGAAGAGAGGGCCCGGGGGCAGGGCAGGGAGGACAGGGCTTGGGCCCATGGAGGGCAGAGTGAGAAGGGGCTCCCTGGGAGGGGCGGGGCAGGGGAGAGGAGTGGGAGCAGGGATGGGCAGGCTCGCTCTCTGCTGAGGACTCAGATCTGTGGCCAGAGGGACTGAGGTGGAAAACATGGTCTCCTGTGTGTTTCTCCAGGTGTCGTCGGTATTTACTCCCCTGGAGAGCTCGGCCTGCCCCTGGCTTGCCTTCACCCCATCCCGTCTCCCTCGTTGAAGGGTTCCAGGGCCATGGCAATGGGAACAAGGAGATGCGAAGGCCAAAGTACACCCCTTAGGAAGAACTGCTCTCCTCTGCTCCCTGCCCCCTTGATTGAGGCCCCTTCCAGTGCCAGGGTCGGGGATCGTGGCTGGAGCAGACTCTGCAGGGGTGCAGGGACCTGGACACTGGCCTGGAACTCCCTGGGGTCCTTCAGCCCACCCCCGGCCTGCACAAGCTCTCCTGGAAGTGGCCTCTGCAAAACTGCCAGACAGCAGGCCAGGCCCTTCGGCAGCCCCACCTCCTGCCACTGTGCCAGCTCCTGGGGAGTCCCTGACACTGCTCCCCTCCAGGCCTGGCGAGGCTTTTCGCTTTAACTCCCCTTCCCCTGCCTTCAGGGGGCCGGATGAGAGCAGTTCCCCACCTGCCCCTCTGGCTGTCCAGTGTGCACTGTGGTTGCTGGCCTGGGCACAGCATGCTGGGTGTGGGGCTAGGCAGCTGGATTCTTGGTTCAGACGTTGCTCTCTGTTTCTTCCCCAAGACATGAGCCAGTGGCCTGGTGCCCAGGCCCCTATGATGAGCTTGCTGCCTGCAGCCCAGTGCCTGCACGGGGGCTGCTCTGTAACAGAGTGACGTGGGAACAAACCCAGAGTTAGCCCTGCCCTGCCCAGCTCCCCACACGCAGCCACTCCAACTACCCTCACTCACAATAAGCAGCCTTAGCACTTTTTTTTTTTTTTAAGATTTATTTATTTGAAAATAAGAGTTACACAGAGAGAGAAGGAGAGGCAGAGAGAGAGAGGTCTTCCATCCGCTGGTTCACTCCCCAGTTGGCCCCAACTGCCGGGGCTGCGCCGATCCAAAGCCAGGAGCCAGGAGCTTCCTCCGGGTCTCCCACATGGGTGCAGGGGCCCAAGGACTTGGGCCATCTTCCACTGCTTTCCCAGGCCACAGCACAGAGCTGGATCGGAAATGGAGCAGCCGGGTCTCGAAACGACACCCATATGGGATGCTGGCACTACAGGCGGCAGCTTTACCCGCTATGCCACAGCGCCAGCCCCACCTTAGCACATTTTAAATGGCCCTCAAAACTCTCAAATTGGGGCTGGCATTGTGGCACAAGTGCAGTGGGTTAAGCTGCAGCCTGCAACGCCCTCGCCGGCATCCCATATCAGAGACAGTTTGAGTCCCTGCTGCTCTGCTTCTAATCCAGCTCCCTGCTAATGCACTTGGGAAAGCAATGGATGATGGCCCAAGTGCTTGGGCCCCTGACACCCACAAGGGAGACTTGGCTGGAGGTCCAGGCTCTTGGTTTCTGCCTGGCCTAGCCCTGGCTGTTGCAGTCATTTGGAGAGTGGATGGAAGATCTCTCTCTCTCTCCCCCTTCCTCTCTTTCTTTCAAATACATGAGTAAATAAATCATTTTTAAAAAACAAAAGACAATCCAACTTTTCCAACTTTATTTCCATTAACTGTCCCTGGTCTGATCAGTCCCTTCAGCTCTCCTGATCCAGTGACACTAGTCCAGGCCAAGCGGGATGGGGGTGGGGACTCCCTCTCTGTCTGGGGACAGGAGTGGGCAGCAGGGGGCCCTCTCCTCTCTGGGGCTTGGAGCTGGCTCTGGTGATTCCGGCATCCACCGCACGGGGGACTGAAGGAGGGGCAGGGAGGGATGGGGAACAGCCCCTTTTGCTCAGCTCCCCTGCCCGCCAGGGCACAGCCCCGGGCCTCTCTCTGGAGTCAACCGAAGGATGCTCCATTTGAGCCGCAAGGAGAGCCTTCCTGTTTGACTTAGCATCTGTTTTTCATCCTTGAGTAAACAACACAAGAGCCGCCTTTCAGAGCCTATTGACTTTGCATCAAGACCTCACTGTCCTGCCTGCGTCCTGTGGCCCTCACTTGGGCCTCTGTAGCCATGGACATGGAGACAGGCAGGACCTGAAGACGCGGGGAAGGAGTCAGACCTTAGGCAGGGCTTCCCAAGGGGCTGCCAGGCGGGCAGGGACAAGGGGATGGTGCCATCCCTTCCCTGGGCACCAGGGCGAAGGCCTTTCTCGTCCCCACTCTTCCCTTGCTTTTCGGCCGGGGATCTGGCCTGAGTCCCGGCAGCCCATGGAAGGAAGTCTGGGCAACCTGGCTGGTTGCGGGAGGCCCGGCCGATCCAACGCGACAGAAGAGTTCCCGCCACTCAGCGTCCTTGCCCGCTGTGGAGAGAGAAGGGTCATTCCAACTCTAGTCCCACATCCACATGGCGCCCTCGCGACTCCTGGGGTGGTGGCTGAGGCTGGACTCCACTGGAGGGGAGGGACTCGGGGCAACTGCAGAGTGAGGAAGAGGAAGAGACCAGAAGAGGGAGAGGAGTGAGTGGATGAAGCCAAGGGAAGAGGACATCCCCGAGTGGGGATGGCAGCCCTGGAATGCGGCGGCCCGCGGCTGGGCGGGGGAGGGGAGGCTGCATGAGAGTGTGGAGCAGCCCTGGCTGTGGTCGGTCGGTGCAGACTCTTCATGTCCCATTAGCGGCAATGGAAGGTGACATGTGGGGATCGATACCAATCGAGGCAACAGACTCCCAGTAATAAACCCATTTCACTCACACTTCTCCGCCCCCGCCGCAGCGCCAGAGCGAGCCAGGCCTTCCCACCCCTGGGCGGCTCTCACCCCAGGCACCAGCACAAGGGGTAGGGCCCCCATACGTGTAGGAGGAGCGCCAGCAGGGTTGGGGGTCCTGCTTCTGGCTCTGTGGGGGCCGGCCCTGGGTCTGCCACCTGCAGTCTCAAACCCGACCCCTTCCTTCTCCTCTCTGGGGGTGGAGAGGAGGCCTGGGTATTTGCAAGGCAGAGCTGGGGTGAGCTCGGGGATTTGTTGATCAGCTCAGCTCAGCCCCGGGGGAACAGGTGAAGGCATCGTCGCGGGCTCTCGTGCGTGGCTCGGTGTGGGTGTCTGAGTGGGCCTGGGTGTGTGTGTGTGTGTGTCTGGGCATCCGTGACAGGAGTGTGCGGCTCTCTGTGGGCCTCCGCCTCTGCGTCTGTGCTAGCTCCGTGTCCGCCTTGTCTGTGTGTGGTGCCGACGCGTGAGTCCGGGTTGCCGTGGGTGTGTGCGCTGGGCGTGTGTGCTGTGCTTTTGGGAGACTGAATGGTTGTCACCGTGTGTACGTACAGCTGTCTCTCTCTGTGTGCGGCTGTGCCTGGGTCCGTCTCCCTGTACGGGTGGGAAAACGTGGCTGGCCTCCCACAACTCAGGCCTAACCCCTGTCCCTAAGCTGCCCCGGGAGCTGGAGCCGTGAGAGCCCTGTCCTCCAGGTGGGGGAAGGGGGTGCTCCACAGTCTCCTGCTTTATATGGGGCTGAGAAGTCCCCGAGACACGGGAAGAGTGGGGCAGTTGATCACGCTGCTTCTAGACCGGGACATGCAGGAGCCCAGTGTGAGTTGCAGGGCTGGTGTCGGGGAAGAAAGCATGGAAGCCAGGTGGGGAGAGCAGAAGGGGGACATGGAAAGGTCAAGCATTTGAATGGAGGGGAACCAGAAAATAAAAGAGGCAGTGGGAGCAGCAGGAGGAATGCTGGTTAGACTAAAGGTGGAACTTTCCCAGGGCATGGAGGAGAGCAGTGGTTCTGGACACTTAGGACAAGAGATTAGTTCTCTCCAGGTCTGGAAATCCCTAGAAGATAGTTGCATTGGGCCCCTTGGGAGACAACGGCAGGAAGAGAGCGATGCTTGCCTGCTTGTGAATGGTGGGGGGCACCCCGACAAAGGTCCCTGGGGGCTCCCTCGTGCATGTACATCCCACACTGCCCTTTGTGTCCTATTGGGTGGGGAAGAGAGCAGAGCTCACAGAGGGGACTGCCCTGCC